AGTTTGATAGCAGGAGTTCAATGAAAAAAGTTAAGCCCGCGCGTGAGCGCTCAGTGAGATGTCCTTGAGAAGCGTGTCAGAAGCTCGAGCAACGCTTCGAACTCACATCTAGCCCCTTGGCTCGGCAATGGTTTAGGGTTTACGGCCTCAAGAAAATGCGCGCCGCGCCACGACGAGAGCGATTTAGCCGCGCGAAACTCCGTAGGGGCGATTTGAAAATCGCAAAAAACTACGAGTTTTCAAGGGTCGACCAGCCCAAACTCCGCAGAGGATTGCGCGGGCGATTTGAAAATCGGAAAAAAGCACGAGTTTTCGAAGGTCGACCAGCCCGAAGTCCGCAGAGGGTCACGCGGGCGAATTGAAAATCGCAAAAAACCACGTGCTGGAGACCGCGCGTAAGGAGCGGAAAGCAAGGGACATTTGTGGAGCCGAAAAGCGCACACGCAGTGAGCGGAAAAGAGCGCGCGATCCATGCGGAAAAGCAATCCGGCTATTTTTCCCTTTGCGGGGCCCGTCTCAACACCCGCGTGCGGGGCATGGCAGCAGCATTTGCGCGAGTGGTCTAAGGGGATGGACTTCAGTACTGCTGGCACAAGCTGTGAGGGCTCGAATCCCGGAGACGCTAATCCCGTGCAGGTTTAGGTCCCGAAAACACCGTTTGCCCCGTGTTTGAAACTTTTCCCCGTAGTCTTCCCCTCCTGCCGAATTTGGATGGAATTCGCGGAATTCTAGCGGGCCGTAGTCTTCCACGGCATTTTGACGCAATTCTGGCGGGCCGTAAGCTTCTCGTAATCTTCCCGACAAGGAACCCAAAACCCACCCCCCGACAAGAAACCCATCCACCCCCCGACAATTTTTGTTCTTTCACCCCACGACAAGAAATCGCTTTCCTGCAGCTTCAAACGACTAGAAAAAAGTAGGTGTTTTGATCATTGTATTGCTTTTGCGTCTTTCGTATCGTTTTTACCGCAAAACGACTAAGACGCCTAGAAATTTGAATTATTGGGTGTTTCCTTCTTGCACAGGGCTTTCTCTCTCATTTAGCTTGATATTGCCCACTACACCAGATGTTCGAATCTTCAGAAGCTTCTAAACAGCTGCGCGGGGGAGTGGTGCGCAAATCGGAGCAAGTTTAGTCTAAACATGCTTCGAGTGAGAAACGCAGTACCACTTTTGGCCGCAAAACGAGCGCAAAAGCCCGCAAAACGCCCGCAAAATCCCGCAAACGATCGCAAATCCCAAAAAGTGGGGTCAATTGGGGTTGTTTCATGCATTGCCCGCTCAACAGCATGCCCTGATTGGGCACCGATGTAGGGTCATGCTTGCAACGGGAAATGCAAGCACCGAGAAAGGTATATTGATATGAGGTCAGATCTTGATGGCTCGAATATCCTCCCAAACGGCCAGCAGCACGTTAGACGCCTGCCTTCGTACTAGTTTTCCAGCGGTTCGTGCTAGAACCCCCAGTTTTCCTCCAATCGTACCCTTTACCCAAAACGCCCAGAAATTTCTGGGTGTTTGAATCTCCAGGTTGGGGCATCCCGTTAGTGATTCTGGTATACGCCCGCAACCTTGCGGGACTTTTCTTTCGGCGCCCTTTTGGCGCCGACTAAAAGCTGTGATCTTTGCGTTGACAAAATGGCAATCCATCTTGGGAGGTTGGGGGATAATCATGACACACGCCAAAACCAATAACCACGACAAGCCCGCAGGGTAACCACTCTCGCCATCGTATCACCGACTAGGTTCGGCAATCGTGCCCACGACTAATTCTATCGACTCGACAAGTAATATAAAATTATGAAAATTATTAGTAATTTTAATTTTAGGACTACTATTAATCGCTATTGGTGTCCACCGTAGCATTGATGTCTCCAGCAACCTGGCTGCGTCGGACAGGCAGACCAGTCACTTCTGCATGGTTGCGCTGAGGCGCGCACATTCTCATGCTCCGGGTCCAGGGGTGATAGCCCTCGAGGACGAGTGAATTCCTTGTCACCGCTCATTTTGTCGGCACGCCGCTCCACGGGGACCTGTCTTCCTTCTTGCCCCCTACCTTTTCTTTCCTTCTCTGTGTCGCGAGGTGTCGAAAGCGCCGGGCGTGCGTCTGCGTGTACGCATGCAACATCCGAGGCGTCTTTCAGCTCTGCGCTGCAAGGATCCACTTGCGCGGACCAAGCAGCTGCGTCTTGTCCTTGATGCGTCTCCCTGTTTGCCCCGTTGTCTGTGCATTGGGCGAAGACTCTTCTTGGCTGCCGCTTCGCTGTTGCCACTTTCGCGCGCTTGTCTGTCAAGTCAGGCAAACGTTCGAGTGGCTCCACGTCAGGCACCCATACGTGGAGCGTGGATCCAGCTGGCCGCCGCTCTGCTTTCCAACGGTCTGCGCAGCCGCCGCTCCACATCAATCTTGCGAGCGCTACAAGTCTAGCTTGTGTTCGTGGCCCGGGCCCAGACACCACTGCGCCACCATCCATGGAGCGCATGCTCCACATCTGCTCTCGGGGCCGGCGGCAGCTCTTTCTCACGGAGCCTGGTTCTAAATCCTCCCATCGCCGCTTGGAGAATGCTACTTCTCCAGCCAAACGACAAATGCAAGGAGAAAAAGATCGTACACATTCCACTCGAGGGGCGGGAGGGAGGGTAAACCCTAAACCCTAAACCCTAAACCCTAAACGGTTTAGGGTTTAGGGTTTAGGGTTCTTCGCTTTGAAAAATCCACGTCTTGAAGTCTTTGAACCCTAAACCCTAAACTTAAAGCTCGCGACGACTGACCGCTCGCTTAGAGCGACATGGAGTCGTGAGCGCACGGCGCGCTTAGCGCCCGGGCAATAGCTCCGAGCTATTGCCGATAAAGCGCCAGCAGCTATGCAGCCGCCCCAAGGGCCTCCCTTCTCTTGGGACCGTGCCTGCAGGCACATAATATGCGAAGCAATATTATATTACCCTAAAACCTAGGCTCCAGACCCTACGAAGCCTTGATGAAGTTCCTCGCAAGCCGCTGCTTGATAAAACGGCCATCGGCCTTGATAAAACGGCCATTGGCCTTGATAAAACGGGCCTTGATAAAATGGCCATTGGCCTTGATGAAATGGCCATTGGCCTTGGGCTGGAACTAGCTCGACCTTGCTGCTGAGAAATTCTTCACACGGGGCCATATGAAACTGGCCGTCCCCGGCCAAAATGTCAAGATCTGGTCATTTGGCTTGCTTTAAGAAAATGGCCACGCCTAAAGGGCAATATCGGCATTGGCTGCGATCTGGGTCCTAGACCTTGAATGAACTCTACAGCCTTGATGAAGCTGCGCGGCTTGGGCTTCTCGCCGCGCCCGCGGCGGGGCCCCGCAAGCTTGGGAAGGCTTTGCCGCAGCGCGCCCGCGACAAAGTCGTTGAAGCCGTGGCCTGCGCTATGGCCCCCAACGCTCGCGATGAAATTACAGAAGCCGTGGCTATAACTGCCCCGTCGCTGCAGCCGCGCGCGCGCTTCCAAGCCACCAGCGAAGGCGCAGGCCGTGGCAAGTCAACCACGCAACGCCAGCGCGCGCGACTGCCCCAGCTGGCCTTAACCAAATGGCCACGCCAAAATTGCTGCAGTCTTGGCCTCAACTATGGCCCAACGCTTGCTCGAGCGCCCGTCCTCTGCGAGCCTCAAGCAGAGTAGTTCCGCGCCCCCGTACGAAGATCTCCGTACGAAGATGCTAAGCCCAGCCTGCGACGAGTCGCCCGCGCAACGCGGCCAGCGCCCGTTTCTGCGACTCAACTCGCTCCCACTTCCTCACGGCAAAATCGCTCAGCCAGCCGTTGACCCCTCGCCGGCCTGCGCGAGCCTCCATGCGTTCCAAGCGCCCGTGTCTCTTTACGAGAATCGGCCAAACAATGTGGCCGGCGCTTGCGACTTTTTGAGCTCAAGCCGTCGCAGAACACAGGTGCGAATTTCAAGCGTTTGCGCTGCGGGCTTGTTGTCTTCGCGCGATCAAGCGCTTCCCGCTCGCCCTGCCGGGCTCCCAAGTAAAACCCTAAACCCTAAAAGATTGGTCTCTGGGCGGTATTGGGGTGGGTTGAAGCAGCCGCCTTGGCGCGCCGCCCCGCGACCCTCTTGGGTCGAGGCGCGCCGCTTCCAAGGGCAAACCCTAAACCCTAAACCCTAAACCCTAAACTTGTTTATCTATATTAATTTAAACCCTAAAGGAAAATGCGTTTAGTGAACTGAGCTTTTTCGGCCCTCCAAAACGTTGGCCCTGTCAGCAAATAAACCCTAAACTTTTTTCCGATCCTCGTTTGCTGGCAGGGCCGTCATTTTGGAGCCTCTACTTGGCGAGCGGTTTTTCGTGGCCCTGTCGCGGTTTTGGGCCGCCGACCTTCAAAAACTCGTGTTTGAACCCTTTAAACACAACACGCAAACAGGGGGAGAGGGTTTCCCAACGACAGGAACCGAGTAGGGAACCCAAACAGAGCAAAGTGCACCTATCTCACAAAGACAAGATTCAGCCACTTTGCAAGGTGAATGCCTTCCCTTGTGAATGCAACACACTTTTCCATCATGGGGAGTGACCATCATCATGTGCCTCAGGCACTTGACGCTTTGCCAAAGGGGACGGGAGGGCGGGTGCAAATGCCACGATGTATTATCGTGTTTCCCACCACTCCCACCCTAAGAGCCAAAAGGCTAGGTGAAAACTCAAATCATTCCATTCTCCCTTGCGTGTTGTGGCTCACAAAGGTTCGCACTTTAAAAGGGTTAAAAGGGAACAGGGCAAGCCCAGATTACCTTTGAACCCTTTAAACACAACACGCAAACAGGGGGAGAGGGTTTCCCAACGACAGGAACCGAGTAGGGAACCCAAACAGAGCAAAGTGCACCTATCTCACAAAGACAAGATTCAGCCACTTTGCAAGGCGAATGCCTTCCCTTGTGAATGCAACACACTTTTCCATCATGGGGAGTGACCATCATCATGTGCCTCAGGCACTTGACGCTTTGCCACCTCCTCCCACTTTCATTACTTACAAAGTGTCAAGTGGCTGCAAAGGAGTACCACCAAGCGGGCAAGAACCCGTGTCACGTTCTGCGCCAAGCTTTGCAATCAGGCCATCAAGACACCCTCGGGAAGGCTCATCAGCCGGGTTGGATTTCGAAGGAACACGAGTGAACCAAGACCACACATGACCCAAGGCTTCCGCTTCTTCCCATGCCAAGAGCAAACGCCTCATCTTTTCGTTCGACGACACACCCTTTATGCAAGCATCCATTGCAACAAAGCTGTCAATGTACCAAATGACTTTGGCCTTGACAAGTATGTGTCTCCAAATGTAACGTGCTGCAACAACGGCATACAGCTCAACTGGACCAATGATGTGCTTCATCGTCTCCAGCCAATGGTCCGTCAGTTTCCGTGGCACATGTACAGAAAAGAAACGGGGACGGTCTAAAAATGGAGCAAAGATGAGACCTCCCACAGCATGAATGCCCTCATCACTTGCACCATCAGTGTACACCACAATTGGCATAGTGGGCGGCGAACATGGTACCTGTCGAGGATCACCACTCATCAGTCTATTCAAGAGTCCTCTAAAAGACTCCTTTGCAGATTTGCTGAGAGCGATCAAGCGTTGGCACCCCTTGAACGTTTCACGCAACTCGGCCATGGCCAGCTTCCCAACACGACCCATGACCTGCCCCTCAGCATACTGCAAACGACCCAAGAGTTTGCTGCAGTCCGCATTCGAGATCTGGTCACCTTCCAGGAGCTTGGCAGCAACACCTTCCACTTCTTCAAGACGGCCAGGTTTGTTGCGAACTAAGACTCCTCTGTCCCGAACATCCTCCAGGTCAATTTCTACCCCTAGCACGACAGCCTTTTTGGAAAAGGGCTTGAGCTTCTCTTGTGAAAAACTGAACCCAAGGAGCCGCATCAGCATAGTCGCACAGTCATGTGTATTCCCTGCAATCCCATGGACCGACAGCAAAGGGAAGTCGTCAAAGTAGCATCCCCAGGGAAGTAGCAGCTCCAGTCCAATGCGGTGAATCAACCTGGAGATCCGGTTGAAGTGTACCACGCTCGCAGTGGCGCCGAAGGGCAAAACCCTCCCCTCGAAGCAGCGTACCTCCTTTGTACTCGGCATCGTCATGCAAATGATGGAATACCTCCTGTCATTAGGGTGTATTGCAAATTGCTTGTATGCAGAAGAAAGGTCCAGCACAGTTGCAACAGGATCCCACAGCTCGTCCTCCAGAAGGGTCCTTGAAACGGGCGCCTCCAGCTTCTCACCCGTTGATAGCACAAAGGATGCTGTGCCACACCGGCAAGATCTCGTAATTGCCGCTGCCATCCAAATTATCTGGTCAAGTGCCTTCAGCTCCAGCTTGTCGGAGTATGCAAACGCACCATTGACGCGATTTTCAGAATAATCATCAATCGGCCTGAGCTTGATCTTTGTTCCAGAACTCTGCCAAACACCGAACCTCCTCACCGGGATCCAAGACGTACCATGACGCGCTTCCACCTCCGGCAAACTGAGTGGGCCATCCATCCAGTGCTTATTGTTCGACTCCTGCAACGTAGTATCCCACAAAGCCGTTTGATCCTCATCGTTGGCCAAGCCTTTGAGCCTGCCCAGGATGGCAGGCCTCAAGAATTTGCCAGCATCATCAAGCTCAGCAGCAGAGAAGGCCGATGGTCGCGGCTCAATACTGAAAATACCCGACGGTGGCTGTAGCCCTACCAACTTGAACCCATCGCGGATTTCCTGGAAAATTGCCATGTCAGGCCAGTTCAAGCTTGCAGCAATTCGCTCAAGAAGGAGCAACTTCTTGCCCTCCAGGATGGCAGCCACCCCCGGTTCAAGTTGCGAGTGCAGTGCGCTTTCCCTGTCACGAAGCTCGTCAGACCAGCTTAACCATTGCGACAACTTCTCAGCCCTGTTCTGGATGACCACGAACGGTTCCAAGGTCAACATGTCAAAGACTACCCTCAAGAGGTCATCAGGAACAGCATGAAAACAATCGAAAGGATGCTGGATGGAAACAGCATCTGCAATCCACTGCTCAGGCTCTCGGTACACACCTAGTGAGTACAGCCACAACTCAGTTGCGCCAGATTTTCCCTTCTTCTCATTTAGTGCAACTAGTTTTGCTCCTGCTGGGGCAGGAGGGCAGGCACACACAAGGCAATTCTTGGCATCAAAGGACAAAGGTTTGCTTGTTTCAACGTGTTGCACGTGAGCAAATTCAGACAACAATGGTTTGACTTTGCGACCCCGGGGCTGTTTGTGGCTTCCAAGATTCCCAGAAATATTGGCGGTCAAGGGCCCGTCGGACAAAACCACACGCACGGGAAACAAGTTAAGCCCCTGTTGCACAATGCTGACAATCTTAGTGCACAGCGGCTTAGGATAAGCAGCCTCTTCGGCAGTTGCATATTGCACCTCACCACTTGAGGATCGAGTCCTACCATAAGGCTTGTGCACATGATGCTGGGACAGGCCAGGGCAAGCGGCTTGCAGCTGGCAAAACCCAGGCAGGGTGGAAAGGAAGGCTTTCCTGGTAGGTCTATCCCCACCCCATGCACAACCCTGGAACAGATAAAAACAAGCTTTGGCACCAAGCGCTTTAATTGGAGGGATTGACCACAACAAACTCCTCTCAGGGTTCTCCACGGACCAATGAATGTTGGCAAGCGAACAAGCTTCAAGGAACGTGCCAAGTCCTTTGTAGATGGAGTTTGCACTGTCAACCCTTGCCTGGTCACCTGGGGCCAGGTCGGGAAGGCCCCACGGCTGGGCTTCACTTCGCAAAGGTTGGGGACACTGTCCGGCAAGCTTGATCTCACGGGCTCGGGAACACGTACCACAAGGCGGGGCAGCATGCACAAAAACAACATTGTGAAACTTGATGACATAGTTGAGGAAGTCCCAACCATGCTGCTTTGTCAAATCGACCTGACAGATTCGTGCCATTGGCAGGAAGCGATTCTTAGAATGGTCCACCGCAAGAATATCGAATCCACTGTCTTTGAAACATCTGCTGAGCATGGCAGACCCTGCACACAATTCAAGAATCAAAGGCACCAGCTCTGGTTCACGAGCCTTATTGGCCGGCTCCGCAAAGCCCGTGCTCAAGTCCTCTCCTGGAGCAGGCCCATGCAATTTGGGCTTCTTCTGAAGTTGGCCATGTTCTTCACGACCACCTGAATTCCATGCACCATCATATTTCCTTAGTCAGGATTGCGCCTGCCCCCGCAAGGGGCAAGTCTTATACGTGTGGTCCATCTTCCCACAATTCCGGAAGCAGCAAACATGCAAGCCCTTCCTGCATCGGTTCTGTTGCACTGGCAAGTGGCAACCATCCAGATTGTGATCGAAACATACGGGATTGCCAGCCTTGGTACTGGGAGTACCATCGCGAAGAGCTTCTGGCATACGCACAGTTCGCGACCCTGCACCACCTTTGCCCTTGGATTTGCCCTTCTGGAACCTGGCCGGATACTTAGATGCGTCTGGAACATCTGCTGGTCTCTTCGACGGACTGGATTCCACCAAGCGCTTGGGCAATGGCTGCAACAAGTGGTTGACGTCCGGATGTTCCATCGCTCTTCTGAAAGCAGAGTCAGTGGGCCTCCCTGATGCCTGCAATTGGATACCGCCGCGCGTCATCTCCGCAAGCTTCACAAAAAGACGTTTGTCTGCATTGATGACCTGCTGGTGCGAAACTTGGCTGTATCCATCCGGCTGATCCGACGTTCGCACATCAAAGATGCGTTCAACCCAGAGATCGTGAACAAGGTAATCCAGAATGTTTGCCTGATCAAGGGCGAGCCCTCGCCGCATCAGTGCAAGTCGTAGAAACATGTCACTGCTAATGTCAGCGTCCAGCTTACCAAGTTTGTCGCGCACTCTCACAGAACCTGATGAATCAATTGCAATGTGCTTGTCGTCCTTACCCGATGCATTGACAACCTCTTGCTCTTTGGATGTACATTTCTGAGGGTCCAAATAAGTCAAGCGATTGTCTTCGTACATCCCAACTGCAATATCAATCAACCGATCACTCGGTTCGAGCTTACCCTCAATCCTAAGGCCGGTCAACTTGAGCTTCTGGCGTTGCAAACGGTCCGCCCTTTCGGGCTGAGCAAGCCTCTTGGGAGGAGCATCCTCAACACGCTCCACCGATGCTTTGAGCTCAGCACTAGTCATGGCGAAGGATTCATGGAGCAACCGCCTGAGCGTGGCAAGTGTTCCAATATTGGGAGCGCTGCCGAGAGCCGTAGCCATAGCATCCGTAAATGGTCCTTCATCCGCAGCGCCAGGAACATAAGAGCTGGAGAAAGCAAACTTAGCAATGGTATTGATACCATTGGTACACAGAGAGTTGATTGTTGGCTCATCCAATCCCAATGTCACTGTCAGTCACTGCCATGGCCGATCCTATCTCAAGCACTGTGTGGAACACTCACGTATAAAGCGGTGAACGACTTATTCAACACCAACCAGACCCCTTCAAGCGCTCAAACAGGGCTCACCACCCCCTTCAGAATGAACACAAAGCGGTCAAAAGGGGGGGGGAGATAAAACAAACAGCAATCACTCAAAATGACAAGACATGAAATTCATGCAGCTCATAGCCCCCATGTCTTGAGCCGCAGTCACACACAGCGGATCATCAGGTCGCAAGACCATGTCGCGCAAGCGACTAAGATGTGCAACCTCAGGGCAATGGTTACAGCACATCTTTTCAGCTGATGGCATTCCATCAACATCAGTAAACAGCTCATATCTATGCCACTCAAGTGGCGGGTGAACACGGGGGTGCCACTCTTAGAGTGTCACCCATCTTCCCCCTCCGCACAATTCAGTGCTGAATGCATGATGCAGAGTCAAACTCTGAAGCACTGTCTACACTGCGGAGAGCAAAATTGAGGCCTGACGTCCAACTTGACGTACCTCTCTGAGATGTCACGGCCACACCTGAACCGTGCTCCGCCTTCATCTGCTGCGACATGAATGTATCGTGTCTGCCGGTGTCGAAACAAATCAGCATCCGGAAATTCACGAGCACTTACATCAGGTTGGTGTTCACCCCAAGGCTGAGCTACCACTTCAAGCGCATGCTCCACAGCCTCTTTGCCGCTCTCATCATCTTCTTCATCCTGCGAGTCCTCACTCTCAGTGTCTTCTGACCCAACCTCGGATCTGACCTCAGGGTCATCCGGTACAACCACAGGCTGGCGAGACACCACAGGATCAGCAGGTTTGTCTGAGCTTGCAGCGGCCGCCACACGGAAATACCCACTCCTTGTGGTATCAGGGTCAAAGGTTCCCGCACGAATTGAGCGAAGGACTTCATCAAGGTGTCGCAGCGGCCCTGCTGCAGCATCACGGCTGTAAACAATGGCAGTCTTATCGCCAGGCACACTGTGAAATCCCAAATGCCTTCTGACATCCAATGGCACTCCATACTTTGCGCACCAAGACAGACATGTACTCTTGCAGCTGTGAGTTCCCACATTGACCAAGTCCTCGTTTGCAAACCCACAGCATTTGAGGCTTGACACCAACCAAGTGCAACCTTCCGAAGCAGTGAGTGGCACCTTGCTCCATCCACCCTCCGTGGGCACCGGCAAGTTAGGCACGTCCTCTCCCCTTGGTTTCCCCGATGCAACTGACGCAGCCTGCCATGATGCAAACCAGTCTCCACTTGAAAGACCACGCCTTGGGGCTGCCATTGGAAGGAACTGCGTTTTCCTCTCTGTTGTGTACGCGCTCTTCGATCTCGTCACACTGCATTCAATATAGCCCTCAAGGAACCCGTCGATGAACAGCTCATCCGCTTTGAAGGCAGTCATGTGAATCATATCGGAGAACCTTGCCCTCATATACACACACAACAAAAAGCAGCCAGCTGCAACCCTGTCGATCAAGGACTTGGAATCATCCTGTGCAAAATCCTCAAGAGCCTTGACCATCTTCACTGTAAGTGGTCTCCGCTGCACCAGTTTCCTTTTTTTTTCGCAAATACATTTCACGTGCAAGTCCTGTGATTCGGCTGCTCTGCATGACCGAGTCTGCTCCAGTCAACCCAAGTACATAGTGTGAAAAAGCAACTGAAACAATGAACGAACGTAGAAATGTAGATGAAGCCTTCACCGCCTCATACTTCATGAAATCATATGCAACCTGCTCAGCGAGAGGAAATGGCTGGACCCCAAATCGTGAACACCATGCAATGTACCGCAGCACTGGTCCAGATCGATTGTGAAGTGTGCCAGTCGACTTTCCTGCAAATACATGACGCAAGTCAGTGCAAATTGCGACACCAAGCGGTTCCTGTTTGTTCCACTGACGTCCAAGCTGAAATGCCGTCAAACAGGTGCATATAATACCATGCCACTTTCTGATTGCAGCTGCACGTAGCGAACTGCAATGTTGCTCCCATGATCTGTCTAAGGAAGTACGCCTGACCTTAAACAGCTTCAGCGCCTCCAAGCGATCGTCATCAGCACGTTCAGGCTCAAGAAGCGGCCTCTCCACCTGCAGAATACCGGACGGTATGACCTGGCAAGGTACAGATACAGCAGCCCCTGGAACACTGTAT